TGCCGCCGCTCGCTTCGCTGCTGGCTCTTCCCCTTGGGCCAGGTCTTCTATATTTTTCGCCTATTTCTTCAGTTTTTGCCACAATGTTAACATGATCATGCAATNGCTGCTCGCCTTGCGGGCTGGGAGGAGCCCAGTCCCAGAGGGGTTAAGGCAACTCGTAAAGTATTCGGCGAGATATCTCGACTAACACGTGAACAAACCCACCCAAGAAAAAGCACCGCTCGCTTTGCTGCCGCCGCTCGCTTTGCTGCCGCCGCTCGCTTCGCTGCTGGCGCTTCTCCTTGGGCCAGGTCTTCTATATTTTTCGCCTATTTCTTCAGTTTTTGCCACAATGTTAACATGATCATGCAATCTATCCTCTAGAGGTATCTGACAAGCTTTCCTCTGGAGCGCGGTGGGCTTATTAATTCCTCCAGCGTGTTTTTGGCCAATAATATCCCCCAGAAGGTTGTGTGGGACCTTTCCTCTAGATTTGTTACAGACGACTCAAAAATCCCCTGGGTGAAAAACTTCCACAAAATGCTCCAGGGGTAGCGCGGCAACAATGGTCGGGACGATTGTTCTGGAGGATCGTTCCTCTGGAGCATGTTTCATACCCAAGTTCCTCCCGACATCTGCTTGCTAAATGTCCATTCATTGCGTTTCTTATCAATAACACGGCGGTCAGTCATGCCGCGGGTGTTACGCGCTGTAGGCCCTACGAATATTTTGTGTATTTTGCAACGCCTGGTCGATTGTACAATAATGTGTATAAGACAGAGACGGATACACCTCTCGATGGCTTGCACTACACGCACACGCAAGAGGAAGAGACTGACCCCGACAACGGCCGCGCCGCCGAAGTAGTAGCCTCATCCCAGCACCATCGCAGCTGCTGAAGTCGCACATAATGTACAGTATATACAGTCAGCAGAAAGATCAGGACGCCACAGCACATTAAAGAAATAAATCATAGAATATCCCAAAAAGTTGCACTCCAACAAAAAAGCGTTACATTTATAGGAGGGTTACGAAACAACAATCGCGTCGCCGCGGCGATCACCGTCAACATTTTCCGAATAGACTAGCGCTCTGCGTACATGAGTTACCCACGAACCCCGCCTTCTCAAGAGCAGACTATACTCGACAATATTGCCCACCCTACGCACACGTTTCTGCCGCACGCTGCAGGTGTGCTCGCGGACTGCGCACAAGGCGGGTCTCATGCACAACAGACGACATGGAGGGCGGATCCACTTGCTCCTCACACAAGACGAGAAGCACCTGCCATTTTGTGCAACGCAGTTGGAGATTGCAACACACGACCGAGCGCGGCAACCTGAGGGCGTTAGCAAGTTAGAGACATGGGGGGCTCTATTATATCAGTAGATGTTTAGTATGTCAACCAAGCTTGAACATACGACGATAACGAGATAAACATATTTCCACCCACGTTATGTTGCCAGATCATTAAACACGACGGAGGCGTACGACCGCCCTGGGGCGCGCGTGTTGAAAGGTGTGGAGGGGNNNAGCGCGAAGCGCCGTGAGATATTCGGCGAGTCGCATGAAGGGTGCGCTGCATCCTGCTAAGGGTGTTCGGCATGTTGTGCTTACTTCATTGCGTACGGACGACAGCTGCGCATGCATATGACTTCATTTATTTTCTGGTCTTTCACCTCCGTAAGCACTGTGTAACTGCCTCGAGGGCGCTTGACCATATGAACACAGCGTGGTGCGAATATCCCCTTTGCGCGGAGTGAGGGTTCTCGACCCCGCACAACATGATCT